CCCTGCCCACCCAGCGCACACGGAGCCAAAGGAGCCCCTTGGGCTCCTGCCAGCACCCAGAGAGCAGCTCCGGCACCCCAAACTCTCCGAGGGGCGGGGAGACTGCCCCGCCCCCGGCCGGGGATGGCTTTGGGGGTACCCTGACCCCAACACTGCATCCCCCAAGCCTCTGCCCCGAGCAGAGATCCCGGGTGCTCGCGGCCCCCCCGGCGCTGTGGGTGGGGGGCGTCTCTGGGGGGCTGTTGGAGTGCGGAACCCTTCCCCGGGGGCGCCGGCCTGGCCGCAGGAGGGGCCCCCCCGGCCCCCCCCGGTTCCCTCGGCTGTAAACAGCCGTCCCCGTGGCCGCCGGCACGTCCGGGCTCTTATCGCCGCCGCCCCGCGCCAGCCCCGCGGCACCGCTAATCAACCCGCGGCACGGCGGGGCCCGGGGCCGGGGGGGCCGGTGGCGGCTATCTTGGTCCGGGACACGGGCCCGGCTCCAGCGGCACCTCCCGGTCACGTCCCGGCCGAGCACGGACTAAAAACAACCCGGGCCTGGGGCCACGCGGCTGCTGCGGGGACCTGGGGGTGCTGGCACTCTCCCCGTGTCCCCTGGCACCTGCCCGCTGTCCCCTGGCACCCCCGTGTCCCCTGGCAGCCCCTCGTGTCCCCTGGCAAACCCCCATGCGCCCTGGCACCTTGCACCCCCGAGCCGGGGCCAGGAGGACGGTGACAGCCCCACCGTGGGCGCAGGGACGGGGCTGGGGGTGGCGGGCAGGGTCTGTCCCTGGGGCTGGGGGCTGGCACCCACCTGGCCAGCCCCTGTGGGACCCCCCGTGGATGCTCGGGGGCCAGGCCCCCCCGGTGCTGACCCAAGCCAGGGCAGCCCACGGCTTGGCTGATGGGGTGACCCGGAGCCGGGTCCCATCGGGTCCCTCCTTGGCCTCACTGCCCCTGCCATGGGGCCCTGGGGGCTGTGGGGCTCCCATGGTTGTGGGGCCTCTGGGCTCTGTGGGGCTCCCAGGGTTTCCTGGGACCCCCTGGGGACCATGGGGCTCCCCTGGCCATGGGACTCTTGGGGGTCTGTGGGACTCTTGGGGGTCTGGGGGTGCCCTGGGGGTCTGTGGGGTTTCTGAGGGTCTATGGGGCCACCATAATCAAGGACCTCTCAATGGGTCATGGGACTCCTGAAGGCTGGGGGCAGTGTGCCAGGATGGTGCCCCCCCGAGCAGGGGGTGTTTGGAGCCGCAGGGTGAGTGTCTGTGGCCGTGGGGTGACGCTGGGGTGGCACCGGGGCAGCGCTGCCCTCCCGTCCTGCTCGTGCCCCCAGGTCGGACGTGGTCGTGCTCTGCTTCTCGCTGGCAAACCCCAACTCGCTGCGGCACGTGAAGACCATGTGGTACCCCGAGATCAAGCACTTCTGCCCGCGCACGCCCATCGTGCTGGTGGGCTGCCAGCTGGACCTGCGCTACGCCGACCTGGACGCCGTCAACCGCGCGCGCCGGCCGCTGGCCAAGTGAGCCCCCGGGCCACCCACCTGGGCACCGCCCCAGCCCCACGGGGACAGGGACCCCCCGGTGTACCGTCCTGGGGACCCCAGCCGGTCCCATGGGAATGGGGACCCCTCCCTCTGCTGCCCGGGGGACCCCCCGTTTTGCCGCTACCAGGTCAGGGTGTGTCCCTGCCCGTGCCTGCATGTCCCCCGACTCCCCTGGGTGGGGGCCCCTGACGGCACCTGTGGGGTAGAGCCCCCGCCCGCCCCAGCACTCCTGGGTTGGGGTGTCCCCTCAGAGCCCCCAGCACCCCCTGGGATGCCTGGGGAGCCGCTCCCCAGCCTCCCCAGCCCCTGCCCTGTCCGTGCCCCCACAGGCCCATCAAGCCCTCGGACATCCTGCCGCCGGAGCGGGGGCACGAGGTGGCGCAGGAGCTGGGGGTGCCGTACTACGAGACCAGCGTGGTGGCGCAGTTCGGGGTGAAGGACGTGTTCGACAACGCCATCCGCGCCGCGCTCGTGTCCCGCCGCCACCTGCAGTTCTGGAAGTCCCACCTGCGCAAGATGCAGCGCCCGCTGCTGCAGGCGCCCTTCCTGCCCCCCAAGCCCCCCCCGCCCCTCATCCAGGTGCCCGACGCGCCCCCCGGGCTGGGGGGGGGCCCGGCCGCGCTGTTCCGGGCCCCGCTCTGCGCCGACGTCGTGTTCCAGCTGCAGGGCGGGCACCGCGTCTTCGCCCACCGCGTGTTCCTGGCCACCGCCTGCTCCCGCTTCTACGACCTGTTCACGCTCGAGGGGCCGCCCGGGACCCCCGGCGAGGGGGACGGGGGCACCCGCGACCTGTCGGGGTGGGGCCGCGGGTTCCTGAGCCTGCGCTGGGAGGAGGTGCCGGAGCCGGCGGCGGGGCGGGAGCGGCGCATGGCGGTGGTGGCCATGGACCGGGCCGTGCGGCCGGAGCCGCTGCGCGCCGTGCTGGAGTACCTGTACACCGGGCAGCTGGAGCGGCCCCACGCCGACCTGCGCCAGGTGGGCGCCGTGGCCGAGCTGCTCGAGGTGTTTGACCTGCGCATGATGGTGGCCAACGAGCTCAACCAGGAGAGCTTCATGAACCAGGAGATCACCAAGGCCTTCCACGTGCGCCGCGCCAACCGCGTCAAGGAGTGCCTGGCCAAGGGCGTCTTCGCGGGTACGGGGGCCCTGGGGGGGCTGTGAGGACGGGGGGGTCACCCAGCTCCGTCCCCTCCGGCCGGTGTCCCCCTCCTGTGATGTCGGCTTGGACACAGGGCTCCAGTCACCCTGATCCCCTCCCACCACTGAGGCCATTGGGTCTGGGGGCCCGGAGCCCTTGTCACAGTCAGTCATGGTGGGTGGGGCTGTGGGATTCTGGTGCTGACAGTT